AACCCCGTAAAAAACAGCGAAAATGAGCCCCAGTACTCCCATGGAGGGTCGGGCAGCTGTTTTCGGGCCCCTGGGCTAGAACCATTGCGCGCGCGCTTCGCGCGCGCTCAGGTTCTAGCCCAGGCCAGGGGGGCGCTGGACGATCTTGGACAACGCTATCAAGCACAGGCGCGCGACGGCATCTGAGGAGCTTCTGGGGTGTTCCGCATGCTTCGTCAACTGGCTGTTGGAGGCACCTCTTGGGTGCTTCTTGGGGGGGCGTCTGAGGGTCCCTTGGGGGCATCGGTTCTGCAATCTGAAGCCGTCTTGGCTGCGTGGAAGCCCGACTTGAGGCCACCTGCGGCCAGATGGAGGCAATACGGAAGCCTCCCGGGGGCCTCCTGGAAGCAGTTTTGACGCATCGACGGCACTCTTGAGCTATCTTAAAGCCTCTTGGACGTCTCCTAGGGGCCATTCAGGCCCTCGGGAAGCTTTTGGGGTCCTCGTCGGACCACTTGGGGGCCTCTTGCGGCCTCCTGTGGGCCTTGTGGGGGACCGCTCTGCTGTTGGGTCGCGTTCCCCTTCTTGGGCCTCTCTTGGGGCTCTTGGGGCCCTCTCGGGCCGTCTTGGGCGCCTCAAGCACCGTCTTGGGGCCCTCGTGGGCCGCCCAGGGCCCTCTTGGAAGCCTCTTCGGCTATCTTGGAGCTGTCTGGGAAGCCTCTTCCTCCTCCTCGTCCCCCTCCTCCTCCTCCTCCTCCTCCCACTCCAGCTCTCTCTCCTCCTGATCTTCCTCCTCCTCCTCCTGCAGCGTGTTCCTGAAGGCTCCCGCCGGAACATGCTGTACACAAGTGCTGTCACTGCTCCCGCCACCGTGCCCTGGGTGGTGGGTCAGATGCCTCATGGGTGTTGGTTTGGATCTCGTGGTTGGCCTGTCGGGGACGTCGTGAAGGCAGTTTCGCAGCTTCTCGGTAGCCGTTTTGGGACCGTTGTGGGGCCTCCTCGGGGCTGTTTTGTGGCCTCTTTAGGCCTCGTTTGGGCCTCCTGGGTGCCTCTTGGGGGCCTCCTGAGGCCTCTTGGGGGCTCCTTGGGGTCTCCTGGGGCACTCTTCAAGCGGGAGGGTCGAATTTTGGAGTCGTGGTTCCCCTCTTGGGCGCATCTTGGGGCCGTCTTGTGGCTCTGTTGGGCTGTCTTGGGCGACTCTGGGGCTGTCTTGGGGCCCTCTTGGGCTGTCTTGGGGCGCTCTTGGGGGCCTATTGAGGCGTCTTGGGACGTCGGACAGCCGAAAAGACTGAAGGCTAAAATCGTTCGAAAACCTTCGTAAAATTGACGGTTTCGGCCTCTTGAAGCGCTCTGGAGAGGCGTCTTGAAGCGTCGTGGAGTGCCTTGGGAGGCCTTTCGGGCCGTCTTGGGCCTATGTTGGGCGTCCTGGGGCTGTCTTTCGGCGACTCGGGGCCCGCTTGGGCCGTCTTGGGAGCCTCTGAGGCCCTCCTGGACTATTTTGGACCTCCCCAGCCGCCCCGTCCTCCCATGGGGGGTCGGAGGCGGCGGCCTCCGAGGCCCAGGACGCGAAAACCATGTAAAAAACACAGGGAAAATTAGCCCCGGTCCCCCCATGGAGGGTCGGGGCAGCTGTTTTCGGGCCCCGGGCCTGCTCCCCCGGGATATGTATATATATATATATATATATATACACACGTATATATGTATATATGTATGTGTATGTATACATGTGTTCAAACACATGTTTCAATGTTCCCTTCCAACAACATCCAAACGCGCGCCCACTCACGCGCACCTGTTTAAATATTCCGAACCCCCAAGGTTTCGTCAAAGGTTCAATACCGAGTTTCTCGAACACACATCTCGAACACACATTTTTGTCCCAACCATCCTGTGGTGTTGTGTCCTCGTTTTGAAGAAACGGTCCCCGCTTTCCCCCCTCCCCTCTGCCCCCATCCTCCTCTCCACCGTCCGCATGCGTCCCGCACACCCAGTACAGCTTTTCGTGGCCCTGCTCCCCCTCCTCCCTGCGTTGCACCCACCCAGTACAGCGCTTCGTGGCCCCATAGGGAACCCCACCGAAGGTCCCAGTGCTGCCGTCCGCATGCGTCCCGCACACCCAGTACAGCGCTTCGTGGTCCCATAGGGAGCCCCACCGAAGGTCCCAGTGCTACCGTCCGCATGGGTCCCGCACGCCCAGTACACCGTTTCGTGGCCCCCTAGGGAGCTCAACCGAAGGTCCCTGTGCTACCGTCCGCATTCGTCCCGCACACCCAGTGAAGCGCTTCGTGGCCCTCCTCCCCCTTCCTCCCTGCGTTGCACCCACCCAGTACAGCGCTTCGTGGCCCCATGGGGAGCCCCTCCGAAAGTCCCAGTGCTACCGTCCGCATGCGTCCCGCACACCCAGTACAACGCTTTGCGGCCCCATAGGGAGCTCCACCGAAGGTCCCACGGCTACCGTCCGCATGGGTCCCGCACACCCAGTACAGCGCTTCGTGGCCCTATAGGGAGCTCCACCGAAGGTCCCTGTGCTACCGTCCGCATGCGTCCCGCACACCCCGTACAGCGTTTCGTAGCCCTCCTCCTCCTCTTCCCTGCGCTTCACCCACCCAGTACAGCGCTTCGTGGTCCCATAGGGAGCCCCACCGAAGGTCCCAGTGCTACCGTCCGCATGCGTCCCGCACACCCAGTACAGCGCTTCGTGACCCTATAGGGAGCCCCACCGAAGGTCCCAGTGCTACCGTCCGCATGGGTCCCGCACGCCCAGTACACCGTTTCGTTGCCCCCCAGGGAGCTCCACCGAAGGTCCCTGTGCTACCGTCCGCATGCGTCCCGCACACCCAGTGAAGCGCTTCGTGGCCCTCCTCCCCCTTTCTCCCTGCGTTGCACCCACCCAGTACAGCGCTTCGTGGCCCCATGGGGAGCCCCTCCGAAAGTCCCAGTGCTACCGTCCGCATGCGTCCCGCACACCCAGTACAGCGTTTTGCGGCCCCATAGGGAGCTCCACCGAAGGTCCCACGGCTACCCTCCGCATGCGTCCCGCACACCCAGTACGCCCCACCGAAAGGTCCCAATGCTACCGTCCGCATGCGTCCCGCACACCCCGTACAGCGTTTCGTGGCCCTCCTCCCCCTTTTCCCTGCGCTTCACACACCCAGTACAGCGCTTCGTGGCCCTATAGGGAGCTCCACCGAAGGTCCCAATGCTACCGTCCGCATGCGTCCCGCACACCCAGTAAAGCGCTTCGTGGCCCCATAGGGAGCTCCACCGAAGGTCCCAATGCTACCGTCCGCATGGGTCCCGCACACCCAGTACAGCGTTTCGTGGCCCTCCTCCTCCTCCTCTTCCCTGCGCTTCACCCACCCGCACGCGCGTACAGACATCGTCCGAACGCCCTTGCACGCTTGCTGGGCGGGCACAATTTTTGTCAAATCATACCATACGGGCCAGGCCGCGTGAGCATGTCCAAATCCTTTCGCCGACGCGTGGACATCATCACCGTCATCAGCGTGACCAACATTCGTGCCGTCATTGGCCTTGCCGTCGTCATTGTCATCATGGCCACAACCAGTGCTACTCTCATCATCGTTGACGCTATTGCCGACGTCATCATGATGCCGCGCCCGCCCGAGCCACCGACCCGCATTGAATTGCCCGCGCGCCGGCGCGGCCTTTGACGCGCGCTTGGACGCTGCCATCGGGAAGCGCCATCGCGACCGCATCGGCTGTGCCGAAACAGCTGGCCGCTCTGCGCGCGAGCTTGCGCGCGCAAGCACGGCCGCAGAGACACGCCAGCCATGGGCGAACAGTCATCGCAATCGCCGCCGAATGGACATTGCTAATCAAGTTGCGCGTGGAAGCGTGGGATGACTGCGCGAGCAGTTGAGTTGACAACTTCAAGCTCGTCACAATCAAATGCACCACATAGATTGCTTAATATACCTTGCGCCGAATATACTACACATCCACAGTACAAGAACTTACTGTATGGGGTTATCCCTGGCAAACATGTCACTAGCGACGGTTCGTCTGAGATGATGAGTGCTTGCTCCTCCTTCTCCTCCTCCTCCTCCTTCTGTATACCATTCTCCTCATCCTGTTCATCCCCCTCCTTCTCCCCGTCCTATGTTTCCCCTGTCCTCCACCACTGTCCTCCTTCTCTTCCTGCTGCGACTCTGCTCATATTCCTCATCGCCCAACTTCTGGTGATGCTTAGGTTGACCTGGCGATAGAACCGTGCCAAAGCAGGTTTCTGACAAAGGCTTTCAAACATACATGCGCGAACGCAGCCGCTTCATAAATCCTTGTGCAGGGCATTTGTGCCTGTGGATGGAGGCGATGCAGGCCGCCCAGGGAAATCTCACGAATAGAAAATCCAAGTCAGGGTCAGGGTAGGCATGGGACGTCGAAGCAGGAACCACCTCAATTCACGAAGTAGATGAAGAGTATGAGGATAGCGTGACATGAATCTGGCCCTGTGACTCAAAAAACAAACTGTTTGTTGAAGAGAGAGTGAAGACAAGGATGCCGTCAGAGAGACAAGCGGGAATGCGCGGGGCGCTGGGCGGAGGTCACAACCTCTTCCTCCGCCTGTTCCTCCCTCGACTCCTCCTCATTCTCCCCCTCCCCACCCGTCTCCCCGCACCCCGCTTGCACTACCTCTCCTCCTCCTCCTCCTCCTCCTCCTCCTCCTCCTCATAACCATCATGCCAGGAGGTACTGCATCTTGTCGGCAAGACGCAGACGCGTTCCACTGCGACCTGCTCGTCAAAAAACGAGTGGCCGATTCCGGAGACTCCGGATCCGACCATGATGCCATCTCATTTTTGCTGCGGTCGACTTTCGCTGAGCTTCCGCCAGCGGACCCGCCGCCGTGTTTACACCCGCCGCCTTCCGCTGGCCTTCTGCCGAGGGCGAGACGCGCCGAGAGCGAGGCTCTTTAGGGAGCGCCCTGGATGAAGACCGCGTGCGTGCATGGCGTGGTTCCGCTCCGACCTGCCTCTTGCAGAGAGCGGGGCGTCCTCTCGAAGCGCCTGTGCGGCGTGGCCCAGGCCAGTCGCGGTGTCGCACGTGACGACGTCGTACCCAGCTGTCTGCAGCGCAGGTAGCGCGTAGGAGGCGCCACGGGGGAAAACCTGCCACTCGGCAAAGGCGCGCAGGAGGGTGGAAGCGATTTGCATTGCGAGGGGATGCGAACCAGGCAGGCCAGAAACAAAAGGATGAGTATGCTGGAAGGCAGGATGAAAGCTGTGCGCCTTATGGACAACTCGATGGCAGCAACAATGGGGGCGCACGAAAAGGCAACAAAAGGCAACATTGAGTTCTAAGATGTTGGGGAGGCATCGCTGGAAAGACGCGTACTAGCAACATGTGTCTCGGCCCATGGCCCAGGCCGGCCACATCCTGAGCGTCCGACTGATCGGTAAGAGTGAGCATCATACATTGCCTCTGCCTCATGATCATATGGGATGGCAGTGGGAAGCTGATTGGGAAGCCGCTGTGCTGCTGAAAACTCCTGCATTCTCTGTTTCAGCATGGATCATGGTAGTGTGCATCGTGTGCCCACATCTGCAGCACTGCTGCACGAGATGATGCGAGGATAACACGAGCGCGCAGCGATGTACAGATGGGCCAGCACCTCTCTAGAATCGAAACCAGAAACACGACTGAGCGCGACGAGTATGCTAACACGGGTACCGAACGTACCCACACTACTGCAACGCGATACGCTTGAAATCCCACTTCGACATGCAGAGCCAGATCAACTAGAGGAGCCATGAGGGGCACGTCTGGGTGCCGTCTCTTCAGCTCGGTGGCGATCTCTTGCATGGCTGGCAGCGCAAACCTTCCCTGAATGGGCCCGCCCCCAACATCGCATCTTCGAGACCATGAACAATCCTCGCGTTCGCCTTTGAAAGACCCGCGCAGGCAAACTAATGATACACACATATAGATGTATGTATGTATAACATGCTTGAAAGTCCAACTTCCCCGTGATGATCCCCCTCTTCCTCCTCCGCACGCGTTGCCTTGCAAGCTTCACCTGCTTGCCAGAACCATCTGACCATTCTGCTAATTCAATCGCTGCGCGCGAGTTGGCAAACTCATTAGCTCTGCAAGGTCGCTAGACGCGCTCGGCTCCGAGAATTACGGAGATCATGCAGTGTGCAAGCACGCTGTAATTTGCGAAGCTGACGCCCCTCCCGAACTACACATGACATCGCCATGCTTGGCGGCAACTGTGAGCTTCATACGGTGAAGGATGTTTGCTTAGCGTGTCGCGGCGGTGGCCTTAGCGACTCGCCACGCCGAGCAAGCTGATAGCATGTCGCTCTGCGTCGTGGGACGGGAGGCGGGGAAACACTCAGAGCGTTGATGCTTGAGAACTAGGACTTGCATAGCGTGTCGCGCCGAAGCGTGATGGGCCATAACCGGCGGTGCGACACTCTACGCCAACGCTCCTGACCGTAAGCCAAGGCAGCGGTAAGAGCACGGCAGCTCAGAGAGCCGAAGGACATCGCATGTGCCAGCAAACCAGCCAAAATTGTAATCTTGGACTTCTCGTGTCGCAACTCTGGCCGTTGACGACCGTCGTGCTCGTCAGCAAAAGACACCTTGAGAACTGCTCGTGAGGCGCAACTGTTTCGGCAAACCGCGTCTGCCCTCGACCCGCCTTTTCCGCTGAGAGCCTACTCCGTCGACGACACGAACCTGGCAGAGCCACGAACCCCGACCTCAGAGCGCAGGTGGGCATGACTTGCGAGACAGAGGCTGCCTCTTGGAGTCTTCGTTTGACGGCGAGGAGAATATCCGACGGCAAATCACGTGTTCATTTTTTTTTGGTCCCAGCCATCCTGTGGAGTTGCGTCGCCGTTTTGAAGAGACAGCGCCCCGCGTCACTCCCTCCCGCTGTCCTCATCTGTCCTTCCATCCGTGCCTCTGCCCTACGCATGTCATCATCACCAATATCATCGCCAACAGCATCGCCATCGCCATCATCCAAAAATCGTCGCTGTCATCATCGTCCGCATGGCGCCTCAAGTCCATTTCGGCGCACCCCCAACACGGTTCGTGGCCCCATGGGGAGCTCCACCCACGGCCGAAGTGGCAGTGTCCGTATGGCGGCCTCGGGCCATTTCGGCAAAACCCTCACTCGGCTCGTGGCCCATCGGGAGCTCCACCCACGGCCCTACTGGCAGAGACCGCATGGCGGTCTCGAGCCATTTCGGCACACAACTCAACCGCTTCGCTGCCACATAAGGAGCTCCACCTAAGGCTCCAGTGGCAGGGTCCGCATGGCTGCCTCGTGCAATTTCGGCACATCCCTCACGAGGCGTAGCCCAATAGGGAACTCCACCCACGGCCCCAGTGGCACGGTCCGCATGGTGGCTTCGGGCCACTTCAGCACACCCCTCGCCCGCTTCGCGGCCCCATAATGAGCTCCACCGAAGGCCTCCAACGGCAAGGTCCGGATGGTGGCCCCGGGCCATTTCAGCACACCCCTCGCCCGCTTCGTGACCACATAAGGAGCTTCACCGAAGGCTCCAGCGGGAATGTCCGCATGGCGGCCTCGTGCCATTTAGGCACACCCATCACACGCTTCGCAGCCCCATACGGAGCTCCACCGATGGTTCGAGCTGCAGGGTCTGCATGGCTGACTCGGGCGATTTCAGCACACCGCTCACGCGGTTCGTGGCCCCACAGGGAGCTCCACCCACGGCCCCAGCGGCAGTGTCCGCATGGCGGCCTTGGGCCATGTCTGCACAGCCCTCACACGCTTCGTGGCTCGCCAGGGGGCTCCACCGAAGACGAGGCTCACAACTGCGTTCCTCGCAACTGTTGGGTTCTTCGCCAGGACACTTTTTCACGCGTTGTTCCCCGGAGCCTTTTGGAGTGTCTCGGAGGCTCATGTGCCTTTTGGGGAGCCTCTTGGGGATCCACTCGCCTCGCGGGAAGCGCGTCCAGAACGCGCAGGGTATGCGCCTGGTGGGGCACCGTGGGAAGTTTTTCGTGAGCCTCGTGGGTCCTACCGTGGGCGTCTGGGGGTGTCCTCGGGGCATCTGAAGGGCTCCTGGGCCGTCTAAGGGCTGTCTCCCGCCGTCTGGCACCTTCGGAGGCTGTGCGGGTGGTGGCTCTGGATTGCCTTGGGGCCCTTGCCGGCTGTCATTGGGGTTTATTCGGCCGTGTTCGGGCCGTCTTGGGGGCCTCTTGATTATTGTGGTTCTGCTGGGCCGTCTTGGAACTCCTTGACGGGCGTCTTGCGTCTGTACCCAACTTATGCCCAATAGGGCTCGAGGATCCCCGAGAGACCATGGCGGCAGCGCGAACGGCGTCAGCCGTCAAAGTATGAGGTTCGACTGTCCGTTACTCGGATAGGGAGAATAGAGAATATGATGTCGCGCGCTTCTACTCTCTAGCCCCAAACAGCTGCGGATTAGTCAATACAGTGTTCAAGGCAGTGAAAAGATTGTATATACGGCGGCAGGGAGCGCATGGTAACGACTGCCCCCGCGGCGGCCCGGCCGCAGGTGCCAGCTAGGGCCGACGTTGCACCGTCGGGGCCCAACGTCTCCGACGGCGCCGAATTCGGGCGGGCCCGGGCGCGAGGCTCACACAGCCACCAGCAGCCCAGCGCGCCACAGCAAAGCGACCATGTCGCCATGGACTTATGGTGCTTGTACTGGTGTAGCCACCATCTCGCCATGGGCTTATGGTGTTTTTACCGGTTCCAGCCGTCGCCGCGTCGCCAGGGCCAGTCCCGGGCGTCGCCGCGACGGTCGACCTCCCCAGCTATCGCGACCGCATTTGCCGCGGTCGCTCTTGCCCGCTCCCTTACTCCCGGCCCAGCTGGAGGAGCCCCTCCACGCACTCAAGGCGCCATCTGCAGGGGGCCGGCTTTGCCTCTGATCGTGCCAGGGGCGCGGGCTGGAGTCGGGCTGGCTGTGCTGGGGTCTGGAAGGAACTGCGCCGCTCCGGACCGACTCGCGTGTGTCCGAATAGCGGCATGGCCGCGCCTTCACCGAAGGCGGGGACGCTGTGCGGTCGACCGCCTCTGCGCGGGCACGTTTGCCCTTGCCTGTCTTCGCGGCTTCCGGCGGCGGCGGAGCCGCACGACGAGGAACGCCCCCTTTTTCCGAGCCCGGTCCGCGATGCCGCGGTCGCCCTGTCATCCTGCGGTGGATGGCGGCTGAGGGCGCGTTTGCGGCTGGCAGACCGGCCCGACCTAGCGGTCGTCGCCTTCGGGCGGTTCCTTTGTTCCTCACGTGCCATGGGCAACCTAGAGGTAGGGCGCTCTTGATCAGGCTCTAGCGCCGCTACTCCATGCTCTCGCCACATGGTGAGGGCATGTACCGCGGCCTCGTACACATGCAGCGGCCACCGCTCGACTGCGGCGCGTTGGACAGTATCTGGCGTCAGCCGCAATCCGCTGGTTTCCGATTGCTGCACGTACTGCATGCACGCCTCAATCCTTTGGCCGTCAGTCGAGATGAGCGGTGCATCAGCCCGATTCAGGTACATGTCGCGGTGGACCAGGCCCAGCGGATCACGATGAGCCTTGCGGAGGTGAGCGCCATGCAACAAGCTAGCTCGGTACTGTCCAACCTCCGCAAGATGAGTACGCATTGCGTCCTCATCTGCAGTCTCTGGGTCGATCTCGGTCCACTTGAAGTCCTTGGTGAGCTCGATGGCAACTCTGTAGACCTGCTCCGACATCCACCTTGTCTTCTGCGAAGGGGAGTCGGGATCGTAGACGCAGAACTCTGGCGGGTCATGCCACAGCCCACGGATCTTTGCCTCACAAGTGGAAACGTCTCCAGCTTGATGATGCTCCTCAGGCTCCTCGGCGGCGGCGAAGTATGTAACGAGTTCCTCAGCCGCCCTCGCAACGCTGTAGACATCAATACGTAGCATGTCTTCGGCACAGTTGACAACGCACTCTGGAGCAAATGACTTTGCTCGTTTGCGCATGGCGGCGCCGCCAAATGCCCTAGACGCGTCTCCTGACTGTAATCGCCTCGCGCGGCTGCGGGATCTGCCACGCTTGCCATGGGCAGCGGCAGATGGCCAAATCGAGGCTGGAGGGTTGACCCTTCCCCTCGGGAGGTTGTCTTCTTCATCTCTACCTTCCTCCTCGAAATCGGCCAGGTGCTGCTTCGGGGGCCAATGATTGTCAATACCCTCAGGAATCAAAGGCCGAACGAAGATCCCATAGTGTCTGCGGCAGGATATTTCGGTTTTCGGCGCACCAGGCATCGCATCCCACGCTGGGAACGAACTACTCACAGGCGGCAGGGTCCGTGGTGCCCCAGTCGAAGACGTCGTGGATGCCCGTGTCCGCGCCCTTATCGGTCAGGTCGACCTGTCGGGGCAGGTATGCCCACCGCTTCCACGACAGGCAGGTGGCATTGTAGCCAGTAGGTCGCTGGCGACAGTAGTCTTGATAAGACATCCATCTACGTGCCAGCTTATGCCCTTTTCCTTCACGCGCCTTGTTGCTATGGGCAGGGCGTTTGTCCGTCGGCGACGACGGAACCCAGGCGAATACCGACCTTTCCGATGACATGGTAGCCGTCTTTCCCGCCACTGCAGAGTAGTAGCGAGTCAACGCTGCTCTCGGAGCGTCCTTATTCCAATTCTCTTGCCAGCGACCCTGCGTTCTGAGTTTTGCATTTGAACCGCTCTGGCCTTCTTTTGGCTGCTCCCCCTGCCGCTCCGCTCGTGGAACGCGGCGGCAGGGGGCGGAAGCCTCTCTTTGCACATTCCCACATGACTCCAGTCCACTGCAGGCCGGAGCCGAATGGGCTGCCATTGAGCCACCTCGTAGAGAATCTCCTCGCGGCACAC